AGAAAAATCTAGAGTCTCAAAGAAAGTTTTCACAACGTCGTATAATTTGTTCAAAGTAGCAGGTTTAAAGTCAACTTGTTGCAGCTCTTTCGTTCATTTCTCCATCCTATTCTCACAGTCTATGACTAATTTTCTTTTTGCTCTTTACTTGGTAGCAAAGGATGTAGGCAAAAATAGTCCTGTAACCAGGCACATTCAAAAAATATATGAAAGGAAATGTGTGAAATAACGCTTATCTGCAGGGGAAAAAAAAAGGTTCCGCTTTTGTTATGCTTGCCTGGGTACATCCTAAGAAAATGAACGTGAACCACCACTTTACATGCACTTATGATAAATTTAAATGGAGGAAAGTGATGCTAAACAGAGAGAACTTTGAGGATGAGCTTGATCTAATGTTTACCTGCAGAGCTCTCAAAAGAAAATGTTAGCAAAGTGGCTTCTTTCTTAAGGCTGTGTACAAAAGTAAATCACACCTTTTACATAATGGAGTGAAATTTATCCCTTGCCACCCACAATAAATTTGGCCTACTGTGTTTCAATTGTACCTCTGTGCAGTTCTATTATTCCAGCATACATCACCTCTTCACTCTGTTCAGAGTGGTGAAATAAATGGTTTCCAATGGCAATGAAAATTGCCTTTCAAATTATTAATTCATTTGGCTTCAGGCAAATTTTAAGCATGGACTCTCAGGGATTGACCTTGTTTCTGACTAGGAAGGCCCGATCCAAATGTCAGTCTAGTCAACAGGGGAGTATTGACTTCAAATGGGCCTTCAATGAGGCCTTCAAACTGCAATGATGGGAGAAGGGAAAATTGTATATATTTTTCTCTGATCTTTCAAAAAGACCCGGGAATGCTTTCATATGGGAAACGAGGTAAACAGACAGTTCTTTGTCTCTTGCAGCAGACAGCCAGCTTCCCCCTGGTTTCCCAGACCATTTCTGGTTAGCTGTGGTGCCAAGTGGTTAAGCAAGAAAAGGCTGAGACAAAAGGCCAGGGGTGCTTGAGCTGCCAACCATCACCACCCAAAATCCAGATAAAGGCACAAATGTTCCTCTCTACACCCTTCTATGTGTGTTTCCGTAGGTGGGCAACTGTTACATGAGCTAAAAGGGTTCCCTAATGTGCTCTGAGAAACTGGGGCACCGAACCAGGGGACTTCTCTCTGCTGAGCTACTTTGCCTCAGAGAGACGCACAGACTGAGTTCTCGGCTGCGTTATTGACTGGCTGTGTGTCTGCAAAATTGGTTTAAGAAGTGGAGTGTTGGTTTAAGTTTAAGGAAAGTTTGTTTAAGCTCTGCTCCTATCACAGTGGTGGAAAAAAACACCTGGAAGGCCAGCTGAAAGATTTAGATCACTATGCAAACTTCAAATAAAATGGTCTCCAGCACACCCTGCATGCCTGTTGTAGCAATTCATAAAGTTGAAGGCACTTGCCTCAGACTGTCAGATGATAGGTCCTCAGTACAAGGAGTCTCCCACCAGAGTTTCCTTCGTTGCCTACCTCCCTGCCATGCAGTGACCTGCACTTCAGAACTGCTGAGGCTTTTTTAAAAAATGCCCTGATGGCAGGTGAAAAAGGGTCATTTTAGAGGCAGATTGGTGCAGAATAGAACCCCACAAACCGTTAAATACAAGAAAGGGTTGGAGAGTGGGGGAAGAAAATGACACCAGTGTCACATATCATTCCTGACAAAGCCGAGCAAGGGGAGTTACAACGTAAGACTATGTAAGATTTGCAAAGATTTCTGATTGGCATATGTAAAATACACTGCAGTAAGTGGAGATGACTGTTGTTTTATGACAAATATCCTTAATACATTACTCATATTTCCTATTAATTGGATTGCAGAGACTTCCTCCTCAAAATTACAAGAACTTCACTGACAATATTGTTTGATACCTTCCCATTCCTAGGAAAAAAAATTTACTCTTAGTGGTGACTTGTACACCTGAAGGCATCACCTAGATTAAACCATGGTGCTAAATGTCAAAGGAGCAAAGCTTGCAAGAATCTCTCAGAATTTTTGCATATTCTAAATCTGGAAGTCTGGAATAAGAATTTAACAACACGACTTCAGATCAACCTCCCAAAATATTAATCTGCTGCAGACACAGATAATAAGTAAGTGCAGAAGGAAAGATTCAAACAAGAAGCTTTTTATTGCAAAGCTACTGACTTATGCCAGGCTTTTCTTGTACTAGACCAAAGAGAGACCTATGCCTTTATCTGCTGATGGAACTACCAAAGCAATGAAATAACCAAGGTTTTTCTGCCTCTTCTTTTCTCCCAGTCCAGCTTTGACAGAGAGGAGCCTCCCTCTCCTTGGAAATCCTTCCCAGAAACCAAAGATCATATTTCAGAAGAGTATGTCTAATGCCTGAAGATTAGGTAAATACAATGAATGTAGATAGCCAGAATTACTAGAGGCACTGAAAGGACTACTCTCAATGGGTGGGCAAGATCCTAAGTCGATAAAAATTGTAAGGAATAGGATTCAACAACTTTTTTTTTCCTATTTTGAAGTATTACTTATGAATGTACGATTCTGAGTAGAGGGGCATATTCAGAATGTTTACAAGTAAAAACGTACTATATTAAAATGAAAAATAATTACAAAAATAAAATTAATATCAATAAATAATATCTCTTTTGCTTATTTACTCAATTCCTTCCCTTTAGCATTCATCTATAGGGGTTTTTGTGGTGTTCTTTTAAAAATCTTTCTTTTACTGGGAGGGATAACATCTGCCATACTCTTTGGAAAGTGCCCAGAACATCAGACACTGTCACATTTCAAAGAAATACCTTGATCAGTTTGTATTTTTCTATCCCATTATAAATGCCATCTGTTTCATTGTTAGAAAACATTTGTGTGATGTTTTTTAACTGGAGAGCACACTCACCATCATGACCAGACTATGCAAATAGATCATAGGATGATAAGTTTCCTAGAAGCCAGGTTTAATGTTTTTGTTCACTCATGTCCAGAGTTATGTTGCTGTAAATATGCCATAAATTATATCAGGTATTAACAACCTACCACGTATCTTGTCGTCTTTAATACCGGCAGAAGGCGGCACATGTTGTACTAGATATATCATTCATCATTTCTCCTTCTTCACACTCAACTCCTCTGACATTTACTACTCGTCACACCCATAGTAGCTATCTCCAGCTTCAACCCTTGTGTCCCTATTCCCTTCTTTCCAATGCGCAGTGCAAAGTTCCTCTGCCGTAAGATTAACATGCCATATGTTACCATCTGCTCCAAACAGAGTGTCCACGGGAAGCGGTAAAAGTAAGTATTCTCACTCTGTGCAGAATCAATCCTTGATATAAGCTTCACAATTCCCACACTGAATATATAATCATCCTCTCTCAATAAGCAGAGATGTAACCGTTGTTCATAGCAAAAATTAGACGAGTCATCAAAAGTAGTCAGGAGATAAAATCTTATTTTAATGTGATGCATCAGTGGCATTATTTTTGACCATGATGTTTTTCAAACATATTTGTGAAGTGAAGGCTGTACACCAAGCCATGCCAAAGGCATCAGCTGGCACAGAATACCTTCACTACATGCTGTGACGTAGACTGATTTATACACCGTTACATTAAACTGCTAATATGTTCATGCATCCCCATACAAAAGAGGCTGCATTATTTACCAGCTTTTATTACCATGATGGAAACATGATTGCAACAGTCTGCATGCAAGTTCTAACTTCTTTTTTTTTTTTTTTAATACTGCAGAACGAGCTCCCTACATATCTGTAGGAGGGAAAAGATCTCTACATACTAGAATTGGACCAGCATCTCCCCAAAAAGGGCTTTGAATAGTATAAAGTCTGCCAGAGAAGCATACTCAGTGTGTGGGAAGGACAATCTGCTTTCTATTGGTTGTAATATAGCCAGCAGCATCTGCTGCTGTTCAGCAATGCCGCCACCACTACTCAATCTCTTAATAACATTTTTCATTCCCAGATCATATTCTGAGCCTTCCGTTCGGAGTTTGTCTGTTTGAACAGAGGTGACCTGATGAGATCACAAAATTCATCACAGAGCCCAATTCCAGAAAAATCATTAAATGGTAGTGTCATTAGGAGCTGGTGAAACCGCCTCTTAAGGTAATATGAAATTCTAGTCACTTATAGGAAGATGAACCCACTCAACTCTGTTAAGAATGAAATCCGGTAAGTTTTTCCATAGCATTTCACTTTAATCTGAACACTGAGTAAAAAGCTTAAGCTCTAATTAAAATTAAAAAAAAAAAAAGAGGAAAGCAATTTAGCACACAGTTCTGATTTTCTGGACACCTGATAGAACGTAAGCATGTGAAGAAGATTCAAGGAGACTTCCTTTGCTCACTCCCAAAACCAACAGCCAGATGCAGAGCAAGAAGTGGGTGCAGTACTCCATGGAATACCATAAAAAGGATAGAAACAGTTCTGGTCTCTAGGTTCTGGGACAATTTGCATTCAAATATTAGCCAGAATTACATGTTTTCTAGTATTCGTACCTCTGTGGCTTAGATATTAAGCAGGAACACATTCTGACTCAGCTACAGTTTCAAATGATGATTTAGCTCCTTCTGCATTAGGAAGACCAGATGTTTTCTCATTACCCGTTGATACTAATATAGTCAAAATGATTATTCTACATAAACACACTAATTGGTAGATAAAGAAAAATAAATAAATGTCGACTAAATTAAATTAAGGTCACTTAGGAGACTTCAGAGTAAGCACTTTTAGCAACAAGTGGCCCTAGAGCACACATAATGCTGTATTTCAAACTTTGTTTTCAGCCATCAACATGATGCTACTTCAGCCCCATAGAGAATGTGAAGTTATTATCAAGTAAAGTAAAAGTCTATACTGTTGACAACTGATTGGAAAAAAAACAAACAACTTCAAAATATCATCATCTATCTATTTGACCCAACAAAGTAGTTCAAAGGCAGTCTTATATGGAAAAAAAAACACCACCTCTTACCTTCAGTATGTACAGCAGAAACATAGGTCCAGTTATAGCGCTTGACAATGTCCACCATAGCCCGTGCTTGCTGCGCATCAGATGGCACAACTCTCATAAAATACTTAAACAGAGTTTTGTCACTTAGGTCCATGCTTGTGGCAGAATAAGCAATCTGAGGTATATTGAAAAGCTGCAACAAGTTCTGGACCTGGATAGCAACTGAGCTAGAGCCAGGTCCAATGACACCAACAATGGGTTTCTTGGAGCGGAAAGAAGATGAAGATCCATCCACGCATTTCACCATCCCTTCCTCTTCTTCTGATGAAATAAGAGAGTCCCTTATAAACTCAATGCTCTGCTCCAGAGCCACAGCAGAATGCCAGCAGGAGTCCCTTATTTCACATCCTAGCGTTATATTTGGCAACAGCGTGGGGTCCAAATTAATTCTGTCAAGGGTATGCAGCATTGCCTCCACTCTCTGAATGCCATACTGCTCTCTTACCTCTCCACATTTCCTCTCATGAACCTTGTCAACAGTTGGTTGATGGTGGACAGAGAATAGAGCTCCAATGATAATATCACCAGGCATGTGTGCAACCACCCTTCTTTCATTGGCCTGTGCAGAAACCAAAAGCCCAAAGTTCCCACAGACATCTTCCTTCAATAGTAGGATTGCAAGGAACAGCAAAAGGACCATTTTAGGAAATGGTTTAGGCTGGTAGAGACAACATGATGGAACAAAACCGGAGAGCTGGTGAAAAGCAGTTATCAAATCTTTTGGATAAAAGGAGCACAACGCTGATCGTTAACCAGGAGTTTGCGTGTATTCTTTAAGGAGTCACCATCATCTCCAAGTGGACAGCTGTGCAGAGCTGCACATGTGATCATAATCCTCATAACCTTAAAAAATTAATAAATAAGAGAAAAAGCTTTAAAAATAGTTATAAATTCAGCTTTGTAATCTGTTCTAAAATTGCACCTATTCCTACTGCTGTCAACGGCTGCAATGCATTGTCTCCTATATACATTTGCTTCCCTCATGTTTCAAGCTGGAAAACTTTGTTGTACTTCAGTGTTTCACAGTCTTAGGCTTGTGCTTCTGCTGGTATAAATCGGTGCCTTTCTCTTTGACAGTCTTGTTTAAAAACTCTTTTGGGAAATGTTTTCAAAAGCACAAAAGACAGACAAGTATTTAATTCCAAAGAAGAAAGATATTGCCATTTCTAACGCGTGTCTTCAAAACCAACTCCATTTACTTTCAGACACTTTCTATATCACAAATGCATATGTCACACTAATGTACGTTGGGCTGTACTATGTTATCATTCACAGCACTAGGGATCTGCTGTTGATGAACAGAGCTGTTCTTGAAATATTCTAAGCAATGCAGAATCTGGTTCTTCAAATCTGTAGATCTGTTTTTCTTTGTGAGCCACAACATAAAGCAACTTTTAAAATAAGTTAGGATTAAGAAAACTGATTTTTTTTATTCATATTTGTTTTAAGCAGAGAATATTTCAGCAGAGGAACAATAATTCTAAAACAGTAGAGCAGTGAAATTCTTTTCCTCTTTTTATATCTTTAAATCAAACATCTCCAATAAGCAATTCGGCAAATCCTGGTACCGTGGATAACTATACAGACTTCACTGATAGAAAGAAGTCAACATAGAGACTATCCAGATGCGTTACTGCCTAAAATATTTGATCTGCTATGTTTGCTGATAGTCTGCAATGCAATCTGCACTCAGCTTTAGTGTTGATGAAGGATCAAAAAAAAAAAAAAAAGATAGAAAAAGGATCAACAAAGAATTCATATCTTGGGCTGTGGTTAATGGAACTTGAAAATGTACTTGCAAATGTTCTGTACCTAGCAGTGGATTTGCAGCAGCATGCTTTTGGATTTAAATAGTGCTTAAACAGTAGTTTGCCCAGTTCTTGAACCCTGAGCACATTAAAGTATCATCTATTGCTCTACACCTGCCAGTGGATCCATTCCTAGTACAGAAAGTTAGGCACGCTATTAAATCTAGGAAGACGCTGAGCTACGTAGTGAACCACATGCCCGGTTTTACTACTAACAAAACAAATGTAAAATTCTGGGACCCATCCTGATCTCAGTTTTACTGACATAAATCTTTTGAGTGACAGAAAAGAATATAGAAATTTCTATACGTTTCAGACCCACCAGTCATTTCTAATCCATTATCAACCATTAATAACGCTTAGATGTTGTAAAGTGATAGAAGCCCTTGCCAGAGGAGATCTACCTCTGTTTCTTCCAGGTTCAAAATCTAGCAGTATTTTGATCATGAGTTCACCCCTCACAGCTAGGTCATTCAGTACAGTACCACAGTGAAAATTTTCCTGATTCTGAAGATCAAACCTAAAAACATTTTGCTGCTTCATGTTAGCCTTGTTTAGTTATTATTTTGCCTAGACATCTAGAATTGTAAACTATTTACGCAGAGGAAATCATGTAATAGTTTTAGTGAATAATCTCAAATGAAATCCATATCTTTAAAAAGAGAAAACATTGAATAGAAAGGGTTTTGTGATATTAATTACAATATTAATAGGTTCATGCAATATTAATTTCTAGTAATAGAAAGTGTTAATAATGAAATAAGGTTCAGACAACTGTAGAAAACTTCAAGAAGTTTTTTTCTAGTCCGTGAAACGTTAGTTTATCAATACTGCAACCCTTTGCCACTAAGGAATAACAGCAGTTCAATTCAGGTTAATTAGTCTCTAATTACAGAATATCACTACTGCTTATGTCTTCCAATAGTTTGTTCCATGACTCTGAAGACGGTACTGTATAATTTGCAAACAGTCCGAAGGATGAATGACAGAGGATATCTTTGTACAATATCACTGCTATTAAATTCCTATCCTTCCAGTTAATTTAATGTATTATCACTTAAAAAAAATATATCTTTAATGATTTACTAACTTATTAACATTTGAAAAGAAATAGTACTCTGTTATTTAAAACCATGAATGCTTATTTTCTGAGCTTTCCAAATTAAGGGTACATGTACAGAACACAAGTATATCTAGACAAATGCCAGCTCTGCTTTAGACTGTAGCTGGATATACAATTAGATGCCTTTTTATAACCTAGCTGCCTGCGCAGCTGCATATGTACAAATAGAGAAAGTTCAGAGGATCGGGGTGGGCTTGTATAACAAAAACAAAAAATCCAATCCACATCCACCATTTTAATTCTACAACACACATTGACCAGGTTTCTGGTCAAGTTTAGTAATACTGTTCTTGGTCTTATGTCTATGGATTAAACAATTTCCATACAGGATATATGATAAAGAGAGGGCAGCAAGGCCTTTTTTATCTTCTTCACTCCAAAGAATATCTGTTTGCTCTTCTCTGTCTACAGTTTTATCTATCAGTATAAAATTACAGAGTAAAGAATGAAGTAAAGCTGAAGGTCTCCTTTGTATTTCTGGGTCCATAATAACAGCAGATCTCATGGCTAGGGTGTTCCTAGGGCTCAAAAGCAAGTTCTGAAAAGAATCAAATCCTTCCACCCCATAACATTCAAGGCAAAAGTAGGGGCCAGATGCAGAATGCAGTTACTCCAGAAGTAACGAACTTTCTTTACATATTCCACTGTACTAAAATGAAAGTCAATTTATTTGAGACTTACAAAGCTCTTACTAATTACACCAAGAAAACTGCTTATGTTCTATAGTATTAGGCTTAGGACTCATATCCAAAGCATCTGAAGTCAATGCTTTCTGTGGTCTTTCACGATGCAGTGAAACAACCTGGAGTTTATATTGACATGGTTAAGTGAGCCTGCTAAATTTCAATGGATTTGGATTTGTATAATAGCAATCTGGTTCTATGGGCTTGCTATGGCTCTCACAAACTTAAAAATCACAGAATGATTGAGGTCGGAAGGCACCTTAGGAAGTTTTCTGGTCCATCCACCCTTCTTAAAGCAAGTTCAACTAAAGCAGGTTTCTCAGCTTCAAGTCCAGTCAGGTTTTTAATATTTCTGAGGATGGAGACTCCACAACCTTTCTGGGCAACCTGTTCCAGTGTTTGATCACAATCAGAGTAAAAATGGTTCTTTTTTATGTTTAAACAGAATTTCCTGTGTTTCAATTTATGCTTATTGCCTGTCATCCTTCCACTGGATACAGCTGGTTATGCCACAGTAGCACATCCCGTTTTAGGCCAAAATGGCTGATCAGAGAGCTGATAGCCTAAGCACACTAATTACATTTCCTGAAGAACATCTTCCTGAAGAGAAGGCAGCCAAGGGAACTGTTCAAATAAACAATTTTACTGTTCTTCTGTCCTAAGAGAATCACATACAAGTCACTCCACATTTTGATTACCATTCTTTCCTACCACAGGAAGCTTATTATTACAAGGAGGATGAGTAATAAAATAAAATTAAGCAAAATTACATAAGCTTAAATATAACTCCTGTTTAAATTGTTAGGGATAACCCTAAAGGGAGTTTGACCTGCTATAGCCTTCAGCTGAGAACAGAGGTATCAGCAGCATCAAAGACAGCGAACTCTTAAATGCATGCATGAAGTAATGGGAATTGTTTCCTAATTAATAATTTATCTGCATTAACTTGTTTTAATTGATGGACAAGCAAATCAACATGCACAGCACTTAGGGTCAAATTTACTTTTCACACTGTTCAATTTCTTCAGCATCAAGGGAGTTATTCCTAATTTACTGCAACATAGGAAAAATGGCATCAGGCACTTAATTACTGGTGTATCAAGGTTCCTAGCTCATTTCAGCTGTGGATCTAACTATAAATTAATCCTGAAGTCACATGCTTTAACAATAGATGACAGACACTTCAGTTTCAGTCTTCTGGTGCACTAGTTTCACACTTGGAGCAACTGCAGAAGTAGTAAGGCAGAGAGATAATTCTGCCTATCTGTCCTTTGCTCAGTCTTGCCCTAGACAAAAATTTAAGGGCTACACAGATTACTGAAAACACAGACCCAATGAAGCACTGGACATATTCCTATAACCTCTGCTCTCTCTGGCAGTAAAAACTTTATGCCATTCTCAGTCAGGAGAAATTCTCAGCTGTTCCTTTAGGGCAGAGTTCCAGCTACTTCACTTTGAGGTTTAACCGAGTAGAAAATGAGCACCTGTAATATTCCATGAAACATCATGCAGTTCTTAAACTTATTTATTTCAACCTCAAATGCAAGTCTGTCTATACTTACACTTTGTACAGACCAAAAGAAACAAAAAGAGACCTAATATCTAATGGCATTAATTAAATCTTGATCAAAAATCAAACTATGAACAGTAGTTCACAAAAGGCTGATTTTCCACTGTGTACGTGGTTGAGTGTTTATACATGGGGCACGTTTGACTTTTCTTAAGGGCTTCTCCTGCCGCAGGTGTGACTGCATTTAAACCTTAAGAATGAAACCCTTTCCCCCTGTGACTTACATTATTATAGCAGCGCCCACTAGTGACCCCAGAGTGAAGGACCTGTCTTTTTTGCAATCTGAATTCTCTTGGCTGTGTGGCTTCTAATAGGTAAAACACAAACCCAGCAAAGGGAAGGTTTTGGTTTAGTCTATTTTGTATGAGGGGAAAAAAAAAAAAAAAAAAGAGAGAGAAAGAGCATTACTTTTGTTCGGGTTTCTTCTTTGATACAATTTTGTAAGTTTGCAGCCTGTTTGTTCATAGTCTCTAAGTCTTCAGGCACATTTAAATAACAAAAATAAAATATCATATTACTGAATCACAGAACAGTGCTGCCATGGTGTGAGAATTTATGGTCCAATCCAGGAAAGCATTTAGGAATATGCTCAGTGTCAAGTACATGAAGAATGTTATTGGTCAAAAACCTGTAAAGACTTGTCTAAAGTTTTTCATCTCTTTAAAGGATTTTCCAGATCAGAGCAATCACAAAAAATTAGGCCCCCAAAATCCATTGATTTGTAGTGGCAAATTTTACTTACATGCTATGTTTGTATACCCTACAGCCATGTACCTGCTGATTAAATGCTTTCCAGGCATTCATTTATGGTACATACTGCAATTAATTCAATGCCATATACGAGATGATGTATGTCGATATAGATATGGATCAAATCAGTATATCCCAAGGAACTATTCCAGATTTCATCATTACAGAAGACAAAACCTTTGCAAGCAGCAACAGAACTCCTGTTCCAGAGTCCGTCCTGCTTCTTATCGCATAGTGAAGAACTTCGGATAGCAAAAGATGGAACTGCCTTAGAAAAACAATTCCGGAATAACAGAGACCTCTCGGCTCATCTCAATGAGGACCAATGTGAGGAAAAGGTGTACCTTCAGAATGCTAAGCCTGTGCTCACTTCTGCTGGCTATTGGCATGGCAAATGCTAAGCATCGGGTTCAAGCTATTTTGGCAATCTAGCTCCCAATGCTACAGAGACGCTCAGTTTGCAGGAGGTCCCACACACCCACTCCTTGGGGGTAATTCAGTTTGATCACACAGAACCTGATGCCCTCAAATGGTCTTCAGTTGAAAAACATGAAACAGCACACTGTTCTGAGATTTCTACTGCATTTAAATTTTCCATTCACCAAAAAAAAAAAAAAAAAAAAGATTAAAAAGATCAAACAACCATTAGTCACTGCATTATCAGCTCTGTGAATTCCAGCAGGCTTTGGATCAAGCCCTTTGACAAAGGAAACAGCATTATACAACAGGAGAGACTAGGAAGCAGCTTTCTGTAATTCCACTCAGAAATAGGAGGAAACTAAGCAGCACAGAAGAATTTTACCCATTTGGCCAGAGCAGCCACTGAAAAGAACAGACTAGTGTGCTGTTCTCATGCCTTCATAGATAATAAACACAGAATGCTATAATTATCAGCAAGATCCCTAGCAATCCCAGGAAGTTCTCCCCATATGATGCCCCCCCCCACACACACACACTTTCTGGTTAATGAAACAATTTTGATTTTAATATGTAGGTGCTTAACATCCCAGCAAAACTTGAGACTATCTCTGCAATTCCGCTAAATATACTGCTTATTGCTGCTGTTACCAAAAACCCTTTATACCATAGGATGCAGGAATAATAGCTCTGGTGTGATTTCAGCTGTAATCCTAGACATTTTATTAATTAACAAAACTGTATGATCTGGAGGAGTTGATCAAGAAAAAGCAAGAGCAATTCCAAAAAAAACATCTTCTAGCAAGTCGCAACAAGAGTGGTGTTACAGTGGCATTCCAGTACTACCACTATATCAAAAAAAGCCATAAACAGGTTGGCAAATAAAATGACAAAGAACTCCATAGAGACTCCCAAAATAGTCTCTGATCATTTGAAATAGTGATTAACCTTGGCATCGTGTAGCATAAATATTAGCATGTAGTTAAAGTATCTGAGAATGCACAAAATATTAGGATGGGATAGAAATGTTTGGGAATACAGTAATAAAAAAAAAAGTCATAGAGAATGAAAAAAGCCTGGTAGTTAACTCCTCTATACATTCTTCCCTTTCAGGATTGTTTAGAATGGTGCATTTTCAAGATGGTCCTCCGCCACTCCGCTTTCAAGATGATCCCCCCACTTCGTCCTCAAGACTAGAAGAAAAAAAAACAACCGGCATCCCCCTACACCCAGTCATCCCCACCGCCGCCAGAAAGCCCTTCTCGGGGAGGAGGTCGAATGGAAGTGGGGTTACCGGGGCGGTGGAGCCCCGGGGTGGGGGACAGCGGGACAGCGGGACAGCGGGACAGCGGGACAGCGGGACAGCGGGACAGCGGGCAGCGGGCAGCGGCGGGGCGGGCGCTGTCCCTGGTGCTGAGCCCCGCCCGCCGCCAGCGTTCGCCTCTCCGTCGGCTTTAGGGAAGGGGAAAAAAAACCTAAAAATAATCTAAAAACCAGCCAGTAGTAAAAATTGCCATGGTGGCCACATTAGCTGTGCAGGACCACATTTTTTTTTTTTTTTACAAATACATTAAATGCATAGAGCTGGGTGTTAGAGGAAACTGTTGGGCAAGGTTAACTGCCAGCATAGCTACCTGCGCTGCTACAACTAAGTGGCTGTGAATACAGACGTATATATGTGCATACACACTGCTTCTTAGGTCTCTGTCTCCCTGCTTGGCTAGTGGTATCGCTGTCCCTCTCAACCCCTAATGAATCATTTTTGCACACAAAGACATTACCTCCGATTATTAAATAAGGAATAGATGGGACTCGCTGAGCAGAGCCAAAGTGATTTGTCCCAAGGTCACACAGAAAAGTCTATGGCTGAGCTAAGCCTGGCTGTCTCTGGAAAATAAATACATCCCCGTTTCCATTATCCCTTCCTGGCAAGACAATCCTGGTGAATACAAGGGCTATATCACACACACCACTAAGCCCAGGTATTGCAGTACCCCAGTCCCCCCCAGACTCACACATATCCTGCTCTTGGGGAGGGGTCAGTGCCCGCTGCTCTCCAGTGCACTAACCCATTGATGCCCCGGCAGCCCCTGGCAGTGCACCCCACCGGTTGGCTTGCTGCCCCCCAGGACCCGTGCTTGTCCCCCGGCAACCAGGGCACGGAGCAAAAGCAGGAGGGAGGGAGGGAGGGGAAACTGTTCCTCCTGCATCCACAGGGTTTCTGCCTGCAACCCAGGGCACATAAATCCCCGCTCCCACTCGCAGCATTACCTTGTCAGTGGCAGCGACTGCTTCTTCCTACGGTGGCGGCAAAGTGGTCCTTTTGGTGGCAATAATCAAGATGGGTAGGGGTAGGGACCTCCTATTTTCAGCCACGGCAGATATAGCATTCCTCGCACAGACCTTCTGGAGCTGAATAATCCTCAAATGCCTCTGCAAAGATCACCAGCAGGTGAGCCCCACTCAGCTAGCATTGTCACTCCTCCAGCTATGGGCACATCCTGTTTTCTTCTGATCACAGGCAAATGCTGAGGACCGAGTATCCGACCCCCGCGAATGCATGCACATACACACACGCCATGCAACACGCTGCTCTCTCAGCATCGCCCAAGTCTCATTTGCAAGAGGCGT